GGCAGCTTTTGTCTCTCAGGCACTGATTGTCTTTTCCGTTGAGACGCACACGCGCACACACACACACACACACACACACACACACACACACACACACACACACACACACACACACACACACACACACACTTTCTCTGCCTCCTCATCTCTGACCATTTGTCAGGATAATCAAGCTGATGAGTGTGGACGTGTGTGTAATGGTTCTTGACAGACTCTGCTGGTGTGTGTGGCTGGCTGGCTGGCTGGCTGGCTGGCTGGCTGGCTGAATAATTCAGACGCTTGGAGGAAAATATGTTTTATTTTGGATGCAAACTGAGTTATTTGCAGATTTATTTGGCTCTCTGCAGTTTGCCTCTGATCTTTTTTTTCAGCACTCATTTTGAAAAAAGCAGAGAGAGAAACTTGTGATGAGCGGTCACTAAAGTCAGGATGTTAGCTGCATTAAATCTGGGCCTGTCGGTCCACTGCTTTAAGTCCATATGGCAATATTTCAACTGTTGGATGTACAGTTTCCATGAAGTTTTGCACAGACATTCATGTTCCCCAGAGGATACATCCTAACTTGTTTGGTGTTGCTCTGACTTTTCTTCTCGTGTCAAAATGAGGTTGAAATGTTTGTTTTTAAATGGAAATTATAACAACTTTTGAATTGATTGCCGTTCAGTTTTAAATTCACATATTATCCCACTTTTGGAGATTGTGTAATAGCTTCCTTTAGCGTCATCACTAATTCAACATTCAATTCATATAATACTTGAGTTTATGGCTAAATACCTGCAGAACTAAGACTTAGCTGAACTTTGGTTTGGTTCAAAGTTTAGTTAAGTTGTTCAGTTTTACTTAACTTGCATGTTAGCTAAGCATGCTAACAAGCTAAATTAGGCATTTTGGTGAATATGGCTAACTAAGATGGTGATCAATTAGCATGTTAGCATGCTGAGGATAGCATTTCGCTCAAATACCTGCTGTTCCTAAATAGAGGTTAAAAGAGCTGCTACATGTAGCATGGTTGTATTGTAAGGATAGCAAACTGTCACTCTTTTAATAAAAAACTGAACAACAAATACTCGAGCTAGCGCCAACTGCTAACAGCTTGGTTGTGTTTCCAAATACTGTGTGTTTAAAAACAAGGGACATTAATGATTTGTTGCACCAAGGCAGGACAAGGATAAGTCACACATGTGTTTCAGGTGAAATTATGTGAAACACAGCCTTAAGTTTTAACTATATAAATGCCAAGATATATTTAATATAAGCATACAGGCTATAGTAATGGATGCCGATCATATTCCCATTAAGAGGTCTGTCAAATTGCCTCAGGATATAACTTCCTTTGTGTCTCAGTTTCTTCTTCTATTTGAGTCGAGCTCTGTGTCTCTCAGCAGCGTGTGGTGAGTAAACAAATGGAAATTGTGAAAAACCCCAGGACTTATTGAACTGAATCCTTTCATCTCTCAGCGAGGTGTCGAAAGGCACACAGTGCCATTGTTTCAAAGGAAGCTTTTGCCCTTCTTCATCTCCCTTTTCTTTACTCCCCAGTCCCTCTTTTCTTATTCAGTTGGCGGACTTTGGTCCCGGGAAAACAAAGGATCTTTAGTATAGTTCAACGTGCTGAATTATTCACTTGGTTTTACAAAAAAGAGGCAACACACGGCTTTGTTTCTCACAGCATGGCGAGGAGAGTGTCTCTGGGTTCTTCATGTGTGGTGTCAAATGATCATATAATCATTGAAAACATAATAGTCTCATACTCTGATTGCCTTTTACACTGTTACATTGTATTTGTAGTCTTGTATGTGTTTAACAGAGACATATGTTAAGGATTTGCATTGCAGGAGGGCAAAGGAAGTAAAAGGGTGATTTGCAAAAGGTTAAGGACGAGGGGGTTTAATGGTTTAATGGTGGGATGTTTAGATGATGCCTAAGGGAATTTAAGGGTGGGACCAGGTGGATATTATCTAATATAAAGTGTGACTGTAAGCTAGGGCTGCTCGATTAGGGCAAAAATCATAATCTCGATTATTTGGGTCAATAATTGTAAATGCGATTATTCATTGACTTTGAAAACGTCCATTTATTGGATAAAATTTTTTTGAACAGTATTTTTTTAACAGTTCATTACCCTGAACTTAATAAGTTCAGGGTAATGAAGTTATAATAAAAGAATAATCGTTTTATTTCGATTACGTTGTTTTCGTAATTGTTGCAAGCCGTAATCGTGATTTAAAATACGATTAATTGAGCAGCCGTAAGCTGTGTTCTGGGTGCAGAACTACCTTGGTTGCTGATTGGCTAATGGTTACACAAGCCAACAAATCGTCGTTATGACATCATCAAGTGTCCAAAATCTGATCAGCTCATTTTCAGACAGGTTTTTATAGAAATGGATCAGGACAAAAAGAGAGAGAATCTTTGTTCCTGAAACTTTCAGAGTCTCTTTCCACAGAGGGGACACATGTTGATGTAGAAGAGACATGAAGAAGAGGGGACACATGTTGATGAAGAAGAGACATGGAGAAGAGGGGACACATGTTGATGTAGAAGAGACATGAAGAAGAGGGGACACATGTTGATGTAGAAGAGACATGGAGAAGAGGGGACACATGTTGATGTAGAAGAGGGGACACATGTTGATGTAGAAGAGGGGACACATGTTGATGTAGAAGAGACATGGAGAAGAGGGGACACATGTTGATGTAGAAGAGACATGAAGAAGAGCAATGTGAGAGAGGGGACACATGTTGATGTAGAAGAGACATGAAGAAGAGGGGACACATGTTGATGTAGAAGAGACATGAAGAAGAGGGGACACATGTTGATGTAGAAGAGGGGACACATGTTGATGTAGAAGAGGGGACACATGTTGATGTAGAAGAGACATGGAGAAGAGGGGACACATGTTGATGTAGAAGAGACATGAAGAAGAGGGGACACATGTTGATGTAGAAGAGACATGAAGAAGAGGGGACACAGGGGAAGATGAGAAGAGGGGACACATGTTGATGTAGAAGAGACATGGAGAAGAGGGGACACATGTTGATGTAGAAGAGACATGAAGAAGAGGGGACACATCTTGATGTAGAAGAGACATGATGAAGAGGGGACACATGTTGATGTAGAAGAGACATGAAGAAGAGGGGACACATGTTGATGTAGAAGAGACATGAAGAAGAGGGGACACATGTTGATGTAGAAGAGACATGAAGAAGAGGACTTTGCATAATAGGTCTCCTTTAAGAATTTCCTCCACAAATTGGAAATGTAAAAACGCATGTCCGTCCCCTCTCTCTCTCTCGCTGCCTGTGAGGGGATCACGGCTCTTTCAGATTACTCTGGAAGGCTTCATGTATTTTTGGGACGGATTTAAAGGTCAATCTCACGCACAACAGTTAGCTTGTGTTATTTTTATCCCCAGCAATATGAGGCTTCAACTAATTCATAACTGTGCGCTAATCCTGGAAACATCCATGCATACACAGCAAGGTTTTCACATCCCACTGCAGGCAGCTGTACCAGCTACACACCACGGCTCATTTGAAATGCAAAAGCATTATAAAGATTATCATACGGCAGTAATTTGCATTTCTCTGCCTGCCTCATGTCCTCATTGCATTTGATCTGTAAGCTGAATCAATGTTGTAATAAATAATACATGTTAAGTGTGACAAGGGTTTCTATAGTGTTGGCCAACAGTAGCGAAATTACTGCTTTTGATTAGACAGCTTCGCACAAATGTGGTCATTAATTAAGGAAGTTGGATTAGGGCGAGGCGATATGATATTTCAGTCATTTTCGCTGCCATGAAATATTCACAATGTGGATTTAATTACTAAACGGGTAAAGGCAAATAATACAATCTTTGGAAAACAGTCTAGTACAGGGGTTTTCAGAGTGTGGGAAGGTGAGCCTCCCCTCAGAGAACATAAGAGCAGCCGCGCCCCCCCTCCTAATTATTATTGCTATTATTATTATTATTATTGTTGTTGTTGCTATAATGCAGGGGTATTCAATTGCATTTCAAAGAGGTCCAGTCAGAGAAAACGCTGTCTCCTCTCTCACTTTAGGTAACTTCAATAAAAAACTATCCATGTTTGAATAAAGTTAGCTGAAGTTAACTAGCTAGATTTCACTATTTCTCGTTATTTTTTTCTCTTGTTGCGCCCCCCCTGAAGCTCTCTGGCGCCCCCCCGGGGAGGCCCACGTTACACTTTGAAAACCGCTGGTCTAGTAGATTCATAACATTTCAAAAATGCAGTTTTAATATAGACTTTAAACCAAGAAACAAGACAACACTAAGGATATCCACTCATCACAACAATTTCATATTGATATATTGCCCAGCCCTACTTTGGAAGTATTTTTGTATTTTGCACTAGGGCTGCAGGATTTGGGGAAAAAATCCGTAATTGCGAATATTTTTACTGATATTGCGATTTGACTGCGAATTTCTGCATCATTTTTATTGAAAGATTTATTAAAAAATGTTCATAGTTGGACAAAGATGTTTCATTACGTCTGTTGAATATGATTTGTTGTTTGGGACATCTATGCAGCACAATCCATAACTCTAAATAATATTGACTCTACACAACAAATAATGTGCCTCCAGCGATTTGAATATTGCACTCGTCCATATTGAGTTTTGATTAAACATTAATACATTGTGCAGCCCTATCTATGGCACATGATTAGAACTTGTTATGATGGTTTCCAGTGATGGACTAAAGTGTAAATGTGTTTCTATGCCACAAAGAGCCCATTAAAAGGTTTTGAGCATTCGCATCAATAACAGCCTTGCTTTCATCTTCATATTTCCCTTCGTCTCCTCTCCTGCTAAGATTTCTGCTGTTTTATTTTCAGTTTAATTCTCAGTCTGAATGTACGGGCCGCAGCAGGCGTCTCGTTCGAACCCGAGCAGTTGGTCTCCCACGGTTTTTAATACCGTAATAACTCCTGATTATGAACACAGCTAACGCGTCTCCTTCTCCTCTCCGCTGCAGGTTATCTATGCGCTGAACACGAAAAACGACGAGCACGAGGCGGCCATCTCCACGCTGAAGGAGGCGCACGAAGAGGAGGTGCAGCAGATCCTCTCCGAGACCAGAGAGAAGATACTACAGGTCTTTACATTTAATGTAATTAATTCAAAGACACTGTCGTCTTATTTTTATCATACATTATCAAATTCATGTTTACTCAGTTATATCATCTGTCATTAGGTCATAAGAAAGGTCAGAATACTTTACTTACAGTACTAAATGTCAATATACAGTTTAAAAGGAACCAGCATACGCTCAGTTTGAAGATATTTAAAGTAGAGTAAAAAAAGTTTGGTCGATTTTAAACATTGGTATATCACGTTTTCAGATATTTTTAAAACAGTGTTACAATACTTGAAGTAGTCCTTAACAAGTCCTGAATCAAACGATTTTAAGAAAAAGTCAAAAGTAGCATTACTCATTTACCCCAAAAATAGTATTAACATTATCATTTGTATATCTATATACATATCTATTTAATCCTTAATTAATTATTTTAACTACTACTGTATATACTACATAATTTATTTTATATTTTTGTGGATTACATTTTCTATTGTGTTCGAAAGCTGTTACCGTTCATGGTGTTCGCGGGTCAATTCTGACCCATGATTTATCTCAGTCCAAAACACACAAAAAAATTACTATCATCCAATATTGTTTTAAATACATCATAACTAACTTATTATGCATTCATAACCGTACAATCCTGTTGTAATTTAATGTTATGGCCCAAAACTCATTACACCACATATTGCACACGTGCATGTGTGAGTTCAGGTTCAAGTGTTAGTGTACATATTCTTTGGGAAAGGTGAAGTTCCCGTGGGGGGAGGGGGGCAGAGGGAGGGGACACCAGGTGCATGTTGGGAAAGATTATTGTTACAGTTGATGGAGGGGGACGGGTGTCTAAAGTCAAAGATGAATCTTGATTGGTCCAAATTTGACCTCGAGTCACTCAAAACATTTCTGCTGGGTCTCCCCAGACCCCAACACCAAATTATACACTTTGTTTTTTAGAGACCTTCAGACTTGGCAAACATTTTCAAAATCTGTTTTGTAGTGTTTCTATAGCTGTTGTGGAGGATATCATGAAGCCTTGTTCTGATACAAAAAACTAGAGCGTAGTTATTATATCATTTTAACTTGAAACGGGTCACGGGAGACCCGAACACAACATAAGGGTTCAATCTGAATCCCACAAAACGCTAAATGTATCACATGACTGTAGTTCAACAATATGGTAAATGTGTGTAAAAGTACCTCAAAATTGTTCTGAAGTGCAGTATGTGTGTAAACGTATCCTACTTTCTATCACTGGGTAAAAATGTGCATTAAGTTGAAAAATGAAAATCGAATGAGTCTCTGTTTCCAGGGAGGAATACGTTAATGCATATGTCAGCATTAATTTAATAATGATTGAAAACTCATTATTTTATTAGTAACTTCTTAAGGTTATTCTACATGAGCGAGTGCAGCAAGAGAACCGTACTCTTTGGCATAACTAGGCTTTGAGTCAACTACTTATTTTAAGCGTGAAGTATGAGGCTCTTTAGAAATGAACTCCACATGCAGAGTATCGTTGTATATATTTCACTCGTGTGTTTTTGAACACTATCACATAGCAGCGGATCCACTGAGAGCCGGAGAGATCATCAATATTCACCAGCTGAACCTTAATTATTCAGCTCTATATGTCATGTCTCCTGATGGAAATGATTTACTTCCCTGACAGCAGTGTGACCAACTTTAAAGAGCTGAACGTAAATATGGAGACATTTACTGTACATGCTATACTTCTCTGCAAGCTCGCAAGGCTTTTAATATCACTGACTCGAATCTAATTACATCAAACTGTATTTATATTGCAGCTTTCATACACATGAGGAAACACAAAGTGCTTCACAAACCAGAAACAAAAAAGTATTTTAAACAATACTAAAACCTCCCTTTCCAGGTTATAAATACAGTAACACATAGCCTTTCAATTAATAAACACCAATAGACCAACCAACACTTTGCATAAGAATAAAATAGTAAATTAATAATTAATACAATTCAGTTGAAAGCCAAATATAAAAGGAGGGTCTTGAAGATGTGCATATTTCATCTTGTACATCTAACTTTCATTAAGTATCATAATTAGGGCTGAACAATTACTCAACATACAGTATACTGAAATGGTATTATGGTCTAGTGCGGTGGTTCCTAACCTGGGGGACACGCCCCCCCCCAAAGATCGTAGGGGGGGCGCCAGGCCTCAGATGATTTGAGGCCAAATATCATATTTAGATTTTTTTTTAATCTTTTTTTTTTACATATAATTGTAACGCAATACATGATTGTCACTAAAAGCCTTGTCTCTACATTACAATAATATATAAAAATAATTAATTAATTTGAATACAGGGACACATGTTGATGAAGAAGAGACATGAAGAAGAGGGGACACATGTTGATGTAGAAGAGACATGAAGAAGAGGGGGACACATGTTGATGTAGAAGAGACATGAAGAAGAGGGGACACAATGTTGATGTAGAAAAGACATGAAGAAGAGGGGACACATGTTGATGTAGAAGAGACATGAAGAAGAGGGGACACAGTGTTGATGTAGAAGAGACATGAAGAAGAGGGGATACATGCTGATGTAGA